TCTATTCAACGAAAGGAGACTGCGACCACACAAAAGGCCACACCATCTTGGTCTTCATACCTTCGATTAAGATCACGGCACATTCAATGGTAGTGCAAAGTATACGCATAGCATTGTGGGGAAATTCAACTACAAGTCACATTATCATCTTAAACCAAGTAGAGGTCGGCTGAAGTGAGGATAGTCTTCACTAAAAGGCGATTATCCTTCATTTTCCAACGAAACCAATTCACCGAGTCTTTTCAACCAACTTTTTCGTCATTATCAAACGTCATATTACTCTAAATCACAAAGTACTCTTTCCAGATTACCAGAAGACCTGATGAGGTGGTGAAGTACTGGTGCTGCAACTTTCCCACAACAATATGAACAGCTGTTTCGACCTCGCCTCAACTGGTCTTATCATCGCCCCAGGCGGGAGTCGAACCATGACCGTGCAGTCACGATTGCCCTTGGACCACAGGTTAGATGTACATTTCAAGGAAGGCCAAGTTGTTTATCTCATGTCGCATGAATGTCGATGAAGCAAACTTATATTTGTCATAACAATCGACTAATACATCTCGACTTTCCTGTCGGAAATCCTAAATTGCCCAGCTCAACTCGGCCGTTATGCTCCGCATGACAGAGCATTTTGTGCATCATTGGCCCAGTTGGTTGGCCGGCGACAAGGTGCCTTCTACCAAGTCGCCCTGACAACAAGACCAAGTTGCGAAAACCCACTTATTTCAATCGAAAGGAGACTGCTCCCCTAACGGGAACCACAGCATCTTGGTCTTCGTATCTTCGACTTTTATATCATTTGGTAACCTCGTCATTTCTGACTGGAACCCTTTCATTGGCTGGGACGACTAAGCTGCCATGAGGGTGAAGGCACACTTACAACTTGAACAACCTGACGAGGTACCGGTTCTATGCTATGCTGCCGTGTGATATCGTTTTAGCGCCAAGAGGCTGTCGCTCGCAAGTAGGAGCGACCTGACGTTCACTTTTCCCACCCGCTCTGTGACAAGCGGCGGGGCTTTGTCGAACGTTTTTCAGCAATCCCGGCCGTACTGAATGCAGAATGAGCCGACCGTCTGTCATTTGCCAGCCAGTCCGCCGGGCCGATGTAGTCTGAAGGAGTTGGGTTCAAGACCTGTCACCCGTTCAGCCGAGCACTCAAGGACTCTGTTCCTGCAGAACGTCATCAATGTTGTCCAGAGCCAGAGGAGTACCGCGCTTCGTGACAAAATATCACCACTTCTGCTCCAAAGCCTATCCGAGAAGGGTATAAAGTTAGTGTTGCCGGGCCTCTTCTACCATTCAACTGAGGAATTCATGCACCATTCAACTGAGGAATTCATGCACCACTCAACCGGTGAAAAGGAGGCTAGATCTTTTGAGTGAACGGTGCTTCACAGGCTTGATGTAAATCCACAATAAAAAGTCGAAACTCGTGCACATCAAAAGTGAACAGCCGTCTGAAAGAATTGAAATGAAAACTGCTACTACTAACAACAAAATGAGTAGTCTATAGCGTTGAGTGTCATCCGAAATATTGCATCTTGGTACAAGAGTGACCGTACACGCGTTTGCTCAAGTAGAGTGTACAGCAAGAATGAATGGCTATCGACGCGGACGCTATTTTTGAGGTAATCTCCTTCGACTCTCTGATCTTCCGCTTAGCTGTGAAGTCCTAAAATCTGGCAAAATGTTGGGATCAAGACAACTCCACGATAAAAAGTCGAAACTCGTGCACATCAAAAGTGAACAGCCGTCTGAAAGAATTGAAATGAAAACTGCTACTACTAACAACAAAATCAGTAGTCTATAGCGTTGAGTGTCAACCGAAATATTGCATCTTGGTACAAGAGTGACTGTACACGAGTTTGCTCAAGTAGAGTGTACAGTAAGAATGAATGGCTATTTCCAAAGTAATCTCCTTCGACCCCCCGATCTTCCGCTTAGCTGTGAAGTCCTAAAATCTTGCCAAATGTTGGGATCAAGACAACTGCATTTGGTGTGCTGTAGCGACGACATGTTCAGCCACTTCCGATTTGTCAATACATACACCTTTGCAAGAGGTTCTGTGTTTTGATGGCTTCTCGTGTATGGGTCGACCAGTCTCCTTCACATAAACACCAACACATGAGCACAAAACATGATGACAA